TATATATATATATGTCTGTTTTATGCTTGAATGCAATCTTCAGGCCATTTGTGCTTTGGGGTGGCTTGACTATTTATATCTGCTGGTCAATGAGGCATTATGGGTAGCAAAGTCAGATTCAAGCATGAAACAGACTGCCAACACCCTGTATTGAGTTCAGTGTACTCTTATTTTTTGCAATTGCTCTATCCATAATAATGAACACTTTTACCCATAAATATAGCATACCTTAAGACTGTATTTTTATGATAATAAGAATAAATATACATTTATTCCTTACTATTCGATGCAACTCTGAGTTTTCATGCTCAGACCAATTGTCAGTCACACTATCCTTACTATATTTTAACTGTTGTTTTACATTAAACACTGTTTTATTATTATCACCAGCATTCACTGTGCAGTGTTTGAGAAATATTCGTACACCATGAATTTTTTTTATTGAATGTAGATTTTATAAAAGAATTTTATAATCCATACAATATTTGTATACCATGGCATCATGTTGCAATATGCAAAAAAAAAATCAGAAAAATTTGTTATATTAATGAAATTAAAAAAAAATTGGAGGCGAAAAATTTATTTGTACAAAATTAAATACCTATTTAATACTTTGTAGCATATCCCTTACTCAATTCAACAGAAATCAGTCTCTTTCTGTAGCTTTTAATCAATGATTTGCAAGTTTCCATTGGTATTTTATTTCATTCTTCTTTACATATTCTCTTTAAGTCCAGGACATTTTTCATAACTCTTTTATTAACTAGAATTTTTAATAAATACCACAAATTCTCTATTGGATTCAAGTCTGGAGACTGTGATGGCCATTTGAGTGTATTAACATTGTTTTCAATAAGTCATTTTTCATAGATGGAGTCATATGTTTAGGGTCATTATCTTGTTGCAAAAAAAGCTTGGACTCCCAAAACATTGCTGCTCTATTGTTACTTCCATGGAAAGTTCTCAGACGAACTACATTCCTTGGTTACACCTTCATGGCAAGGACCACTTACATTATAGCAAACCACCCACACTCCCTCCATATTTCATTGGTAAGAAGTAAGTTCCACTTGAACAGCTTCTTCCTGTGAACCACTGCTCTGTGGAACCAACTCCTGAGAGGATGTTTCCCCAATCACTACAATCTGAAACTGTTCAAGTCTAGGGTTAACCATTATCTTCCTCTTCTATCCACACAAATTGCCTCTTAACGCAACTCTCTACCACGAATGGCCCCTGGGCTTTGTGCAGGGTAAACCTTACTGCAAAAAGAAAAATAAGTACAATATTTTCTCGACAGATGGCATTACATTGGCAGCCCTTAGACAAGAAATTGAAAATGCATGTGCAGCAATTCCACTGTGCACTTTGGCCAACATTGCCCAAGTAGTAGTTTTCTATACTAATAAATTTCTGGAAGCTAAAGGCCACCATTTTGAGCATCTCTTGTGATTGTAGAGTCCAAAGGTAACTTGCATTAATCTTGTGATATCCAAAATCCAAATAAATTTAGTATTACAGTATCTCTACCAGTTTCTCCTTTCCTGAGATGTGTATACATTTTTCTGGCAGACTCTGTGTGTGTGTGTGTGTGTATATATATATATATATATACACACACATACACATTTTTTACAGAGAACACACAAAAATTACCCTTTGATCTTGTATTTAGATGAGATGATGGTGTGACACTGAGCTGTCGACCCATGGTCAACTCCCAGTCGCACTGTGAAAATGTAATGTTTCTCCCACCAGCGTTTTGAGGTTGACTCTTAGTTGCTGCCACCAGCCTGTGTCCCAGTTGATCAGTGGTCATTGCTACCCGGTGGAATCCCTTGGTCAGGGTACCAATATGTGACACTGGCCTATCCTGGGTCAAATCCGGCGGAATCCTTTGGTCAGGGTACTGAGTGGGATGGTCAGTCGATGCTAACAGCTTCACACCAGCTGCAACCAGTTCGACACCAGCTCTATCATTCCCACCTCACTTCCAACGTCTGGTTACCAAAGTAACTGCTTCAATCTCAAGTCTAACCAACCCACATTGTGATTTTGATCTTAGGTAGATGAGATCAATCAGACGTTGGGCCGTACTGTAAGATGAGTTCAGACTGGAGGTGATATCACACAAGCGTAAAGAAAAAAAAGAAGCAAATAAAAACCCAAGAGGTTCATATACAGAAGTGTTTTTCTCCCAGCCTGTTTTCTACGGAGTGTGACACATCTACGCTTCTTAAGCAAGTTTTGGTATCTTAAGTCAACTGGTTTAGTTTTTAGGTGCTATTGGTAGGATAGGTGAAGTTGGAGGTCGTGGAATCTCTCAATCAGCTTCTGCAAGGCAATGCTCTATTCAAGCCCTGACTCCCAAGCTAACTCTACTAAATTACTGTCGAATGGCCCGAGGATGTTCGTTTATATGGGTACCGACCAAAAACCAGTGCGAGGTTAGACACAGTTTGGGATTCTTGGCAAATCTTGATTTCCAACAAGAAATCTCTTTGTTGTCAGGCCAGGAAAATTGATTACTTCCGAGTTTTGGAAAATTAATCACTTTCCATTTTGGGGTGATCTCCTCGTCCGTGAGGAGAGGTCAGAGGAGAGCTATCCTCTTTAACTCTTCCTCTCTCACATTGATACCTCGTACCAATCCCTTCAGTGGGCGTTAATAACTTCCCTGTCCTTCTCATCAAATTACCTCCGCCTATCACCATTGCTACCACTCAACCAATGACATCCTGGCCATGCAGGTGTGGCTAAGTTGGCTTCCTTAAAATTATAACCCAGAATTTTTGTTTACAAAATTCTTTTTTTTTTTTTCCAATCGGCCAAAATTTTTACAAATCCCACATTGCCACTTAAAATCTCTCGGATCTTTTGGTCACTCAGAGTCTTCTTAACCAGCACCCTTTACAAATTCCATCAATCACTGTCAAAGTCTGCTATCTGGTCCCTTCATGAAGTGAGCTTTTACTGGAACCCTTGGTTTCTTGAGAAATTAAATTTCTTATCTCCCAAATCATGATTCTTCCACAATATCTTTTCTCATCATCATATTGCTACTCAACATATCAGCACCTGAAGATAACACTTTGGAAAAGTAAATAATAACAATTCTCTCAAACTCGTATCAGAATAAAATATTTCTCATGCCAAAATTCCCACAAATACTATATGGTTTTGCCTTGCTGGTACTCAAGAAAAATGATATCTTGGGAAGACAGTTAATATTGATTCTCTCTACCCTGTATCGGCCAAAATTTTTATGATTGCTATATGGTCTGCCCAATATCTCAATGCCTTGTTTTTCTTTTCTGAATCTTGTGTTTCTCTCAGCAAGCCTTCTTTTTACAAACAACATTAATCAATTTGTTAAAATCTCACATATAGCTTTTCTATGCGTCTACTGTCTACACCAATTTACGGGTCTTTGTGAAAAGTAACTGTTATGGAAATAAAATAAAATCTTTTTAATCTCGAATGATATATCTTTCGGGATATCTTCTTTCCATTCTCAGTATTTCTTGTTTTAATTTCTATGGTTAATTAGTTATCCAATTAGCATAGCTAAATAGTGTCACAATGGGTTCTATTTCATGTGGGGTGCCTCTATACATGCATAGGGGCCAAAAACAAAAATTGTGCAATACCTGTGAACACTCTCATACAGGTATCAGAATGCTTAAATCTTTCCTCTTTAGTGCAATGAAGGAGGTGCTTCCAAAGGTTTGGAAAATTTAGAACTGAGCTTTCTTCATTGTTTTCCATGAATTGTATGAAAGCAAAAACGCAGTAAATGAGAACAGAGCCAGATGTCAAGGCCGAGTAAAGAAATGATGAGAAATGTTGAGAAATGTTAAGAAATGATGAGAAATGATGCTCTAATCCTAAGCAGAGGTGACAATGCTAAGAAGTCCATCAATTTTGGATGATGCTATGCTCAGTATATCTGAAATACCAAAATTATTATTATTATTATGCTTAAATTAGAATATGATTGTTGTTATTTCTAACCAAATGCCCTTTTCTAATATAATCACCTACACCTACAATATGATCTTGGATATTTCTCACCAAATACCTTTTCTGATACAATCCCTTACACCTACAATATGATTCACATCCAATAATGGCACCCAAAATTTCCATGAACAAGTTCTATAAAGGCAGGTAATCTTTAGGAATCTATTTTGTTTATTTTCTTTTCAATCTGAGAATGGAAACAAATCACTTTATAGTATCAAAAAGAATTAAACCATTATGATAATATTAAAAATTTCTTTATTAAGATATTTCCAAATTGAAATTCTTTTCTCATCATATTTCTGTTCAGAAGTCTGATGTTTTTTGACTCTAAAGTCATCAGCTGGGTTATAGTTTCTTAACCACATTTAAACTGAATCGCTGGACCCCCAAACATCCAATGGATGACCTATCAAATTTAGGACTAGAAGATTTGCCACATTTTTAACTTTAAGATGATTTCTTTTGTCAGAATAAATTATGTTAATCACAGAAAGCCCTCTTCCAAAGAACTTACAGCAATGGTCTTAATTATATTTTTAGGTATTAAATATCAGATTATTTTCGGATAATCCAACAACCAATTCATGCAAACAAGTAGGATGCCACCACTGCTTACACCTACAATATGATAACATATATATCTAGCTAAATACCTTTTCTAATACAATCCCTTACACCTACAGTATGATCGTAGATATTTTTAACCAAATGCCCTTTCCAAAGAGAATCCTTTACATTTTGTCTTCCATTTCTATTCAGTTTTGTCTTTTCTTTTTGGTTTATAACTGAAAGGTTAGTCATTATTTTCCTTTAAATAATTTAATCTTCTTGAAACTATTTTAAAAACTCTTGTACATAGTAGTTTAGTAAAACAATTGTTATCCATAAATTCATACTATTTTGTATAGAGATTGCTTTTGTTTACTACCAACTATATTTCATGGTTAATTCTATTATTTTGTTTATTGCTACAGGATGTTAGTGGAGCTGAAAGATGTGGACATCAATGCACGTGATAACTGGGATAGTACACCTCTGTAAGTTAATATTTTTTATTACAATTTTAAATATGATTTTCTATATTTTTATAACAGTCATTGGCAAATGGTGGGCCACTAGGCCCCAATTCACTTTCTGAATGATATGTCTAATTTCATGAGGAAAATAACATTTATTAAAATATTTTGTTCTCATTTGTTCACAGGTTGTGAGATTTAAATTATGATTTAAATCAAATGATTTTTTTAAATCGCTGATTTAAATCAATTTTACAAAAAATCTTTATTTAAAGCAAAAAATTTAATGAAAGAAAAGTGTTAAACATATTGAATCAAATATTTATTAATCAACTGAATAATTTTTTTTGTTACTATAAAATTAAATTTTAACCATTTAACAAATTTTAGAATTCAACATGAACAATCTTTGGATTCATGTATTTAAATAGAAAGGCCATTTTTGCTGCTTTATCTGTACCAAGATGGTTTCTCAGTTTGGAATGCACCTGTCTATAGGACAAGAAAACTTGTTCATCACCAGAAGATGAAGCCACTGCTGACAGGAGTAAATCACTATTCAACACACTTTTAAATTTTAAAATTCAAAATGAGCAATCTTTGGATTCATGGATTTAAATAGGCCATTTTTGCTGCTTTATCTGTACCAAGATGGTTTCTCAGTTTCAAATACAACAGTCCATAAGATGAGAAACTCATTCATTGCCAGAAGATGAGGCCACTGCTGACAGGAGTTGTTTAATCACAGAAAGTATATCACTGCTGAATACACTTGCATGTGAATCCCACCATTCAATAGCAAAGACAGTCTTGTTTATGTAATCTGCAAATTTAAATGCCTGGAAGGGAGGAGACCTCACTTGCAATTTCATTATAATGATTATAGGTACCTCCACAAAAGAAAAAGCACCTCCTATATTTTATGACCAATAAGTGAAGCACAAACAAGAGACATTCACAAATAAATCACACTAAATTCATTAGATATGAAAAACTTTTTTACAATTCTGTACAAGCATGGCTTCAAATTAAATAAGTGATTTCTGGAACCTGATTAAATAGGACAAGACATGTAATGTACTCTCTACGACATCTGTGCGGTTGAATGCCAAATGACCTGGAGATAGGTTAGTGTTTGGGTTACTAATTACATTCCTACGCAATACTCAGATAGGATTCATGAGCTGAGTACTGGCTGTCAAATAGCAATAAAAACGGCTTGTCAGCAACTAGATCTGCAATGACAGTGAAGTACATTTGGCAAAAGATAGCAATGCAATGCCACAACAAAAGTAAGTCTTGTCTCCCCTCTCTTTGTTCACTGTGTTTTGAAATTACTGCTATCACACACAGTCAGCAGTCATACACGTTTCATTAGCGTGTGCTTCACACACACACACTAGCATACCATACAATTTGATTTCCTCACTTGCAGCAAAAATACTTTGAAACTTTGCAGACTCACTTACGACAAATCATTTCGAACAATCGAACTATTGGTCTCTTCATGGCTACAGCAAAGAACATTGATTTTTAATATGTAAATACATCTGACTGTATAAATGTTACTATCATATTTAGCTTGGCCTCCTTCCTTTTCTGCAAAGATCATTTCTTTGCTTTGTATAAAAAAATTGTGTTGTATTTGTGGACACAACACTCAGATTTTATTTTTCCTCCTAAAATCCAATTAGTCTGACCCCAAAGTTTAAAATGAATTTTTAAAAATGAAAAGTCTTTCTTGACATTTTAGTTTTAATTTCAAGCTAATAGATTAAATTTAATATTTCCAATAAGCAAAATACTTTGCTGTATTTCAAAAACTAATTTAAATTGACTGGAAGCAATTATTTTTTTTTATTTTTTTTGCTAAATAGCTGATGGAAACAACTGACATAATCCATTGCAATATTAACTTTCTCTTTGCTTAATTATTTCCTTGAAGATCAGGATGAATGATGTTGGCAAGAAGAAGGGTTTTGCTGATGACTTTTTTCACCATTTCTATCAGTTTCTTCAGCAGCTTTTTCAGAATTCTTGAACAATTCTTTGTAAATATCCACTGCTTCAGCAATGGTTCATGTGTCACTGTAATTTATCAGAATCAAAAACAATAGTAATTGAATTTATTGACAAATAAATATTTAAAAATCAATAAACATTAAAAGTCAAAAATGTATTTTCAAAATCATTAAAATCGTCTATTATTAAAACAAATTATCTATGTCAGCTTTTTTTTTACTGTTAGTGTTACACTGTACAATGTACAGTAAAAAAAAAATAAAATGATTGTATAAGAAACTGAATATTAAATTATTACCTTTTAAAAAAATATTTAAAATTTGTGTTTTCCAAATCAATTGTTTAATATATATTGTTCAGTGTGGCATTCATAATAAAACATTATTTAATAAACATAAATTTTACACTAAAAGAAACCTTTTTTCTCTAGCAAAACACTCGTACTTGTTATATCCTTTTTGTTTCTACATTTCGAAAAAAAGTGCCTATCACAAATCTTTCATGGGAAGAAAATTGCAGATCAGAATAATTTTTCACTCAGTTTTATTTTGGGCATTTAGCATAATTTAGCTGAGGGTGTCCTGATTGGAAGTTGTGCTACAATTTAAAAACAGAATAAAAAAAAATAAAAGAACACACTTATAAAATTGTACATGTATAAGATAGGGAAATTATTAAGATTAAAAAGTACATGTATAAGATAGGGAAATTATTAAGATTAAAAAGTACATGTATAAGATAGGGAAATTATTAAGATTAAAAAGTACATGTATAAGATAGGGAAATTATTAAGATTAAAAAGTACATGTATAAGATAGGAAATTATTAAGATTAAAAAAGTACATGTATAAGATAGGGAAATTATTAAGATTAAAAAGTACATGTATAAGATAGGGAAATTATTAAGATTAAAAAAGTACATGTATAAGATTTAAAGATTAAAAAGTACATGTATAAGATAGGGAAATTATTAAGATTAAAAAGTACATGTATAAGATAGGGAAATTATTAAGATTAAAAAAAGTACATGTATAAGATAGGGAAATTATTAAGATTAAAAAGTACATGTATAAGATAGGGAAATTATTAAGATTAAAAAGTACATGTATAAGATAGGGAAATTATTAAGATTAAAAAAGTACATGTATAAGATAGGGAAATTATTAAGATTAAAAAGTACATGTATAAGATAGGAAATTATTAAGATTAAAAAGTACATGTATAAGATAGGGAAATTATTAAGATTAAAAAAGTACATGTATAAGATAGGGAAATTATTAAGATTAAAAAAGTACATGTATAAGATAGGGAAATTATTAAGATTAAAAAGTACATGTATAAGATAGGGAAATTATGTTTAAATGGACAATGTGTTTTTTCTCTTAAGTGAGCAAATTTTTGGCATTTAGAACCCTATAGATTGAAGTAAAAAAAAAAATGAGTAACTGTAATGCCTGGAAGAAAACAAATTTCATAAAATTTCAAAGTTAAAAAAACCAACATGAATTGAAAAATCCTTGTCAAACTACTCATAAAAAATAATTGCAAGATTATTTATGTTCAAATCAATCATATAATAACTGATGGTCACCATGTTAATCTGTTAAGTTAGTTTAAAATGTTATAAGAATAAAATAGTTGTATAGCTTCATCTGGAAAAAAAACAAGACTGAAAGTGGAATGTAGATGCACCAACACCTTAAAAATGGTAAAAATTAAATGTAGATTTTTATTGACTAAATTTGGACAAAGTCAGCCAGATATGACCAAAATTGTTTGTTTGGCAAGCCTAAATTATATATCTTAATTTCTTAAGCTATTCATATCAACTTTGCTCTTTCTTTATGTGCAAAAATGAAAAAACAAATTAAAAATCTGGTTTAAAAAAAAAATTTTAAATAAAAAAAAATTAACAATCATGCTTGTTCACTCACACTCTTTCATGCATAACCACATACATAAACAATGATTAAATACAATGTTTCTTGAATTTTGTAACTTTTCATTGAAGGTAACATCAGCATTTTAAACCATTGGCAATTTTGACTATGGAACATTATACATGTAATAAATATGTAAACAACTTTTGCTTCAGAAACAGGAATCGTCAATGATAATTATTTTTGTGTAGAGAATAAATAGACTTCTTTTAGAATTATTTTGTAAAAATTATTTTGATATGTTGTACATAATTTTATACTTTCAGAGTAAACATACATACATACATATACATACATATATATATATATATATATATATATATATATATATATATATATATATATATATATATATATAAATGTATAATTATTTATATATTATATGCGGTACTTATTAGAAAGCACTCAATATCAGAGATAGAGCTAACATATTTGGTTGGATAGATGTGAGTTTGTGACCCTGGGTTTCACGCTTTTAGCGATCGTCAGACAAACTATATATATATATATATATATATATATATATATATATATATATATATATATATATATATATATATATATATATATATAGTTTGTAATAAAATTATTGTTGGTAATTTTTTTAAAGTCATTGCTGATAATTTTATTATAAAATGTACTGTTGATTTTTTTTTTTTTTTTTTTTTTTTTTTTTTTATTTGCTCACAGCTGTGACCCTAACAGATGCTACCACACCAGGTTAGGGTAGACCTGGGAATAACAGCAGTTAAGAGGTAGTTCCATGAACCTTAGAACCTCCAATCTCCCAATAGGAGGCCTAGCTGCCAGATGGAGTTTATCATCATACCCAGAACAGGAAAGAGACAATTGAAATTTCTAGGGCACATAATGAGGAAAGAGGGCTTGGAAAATTTGATACTCACAGGACATATTGAAAGCAAAAGAGAAGAAAGCAGCATATAATGTACCTAAACAACCTTGTGTAAATAGTAGAACAGGGATTAGGAGAAATATTGTAAACATCCAATGCAACCCTCAACCAAGCTTTCCACCATCTGACCATTGTATTCCAATTCT